AATGTAGCTTACAAATATCTTTACTTGATAACTTGTATTTATGTCGACTATTATTGCGAAATTGCATCTACGAATTAAATTCAACCGTGTCAAGGTTCGGACATTTGGCATCACACCGGAACATTCCTTTTCAGAGCAGATTTTTCTTGTAGTGACGGACTTTTTTTCCATACAGACTACAATATTTTTCTTCAATGGTATGCAACTCCGATCATGTAGCTCATCTCGAAAGAGAAATTAATAACAAACATTTATATGAATGATCCTTCGCCCTAAAAAGGCATAGAAACATAACTCAAAAATTAGAAAAATTATTTTTAAAATCCACGCCTTATGTAAGTTTCTAGAAAAATTATTTAAGAAATCCACGCGTTTCAAAATATCCAGCGCATAAAGAATGCATTTTGAGGTAAAGGTCAGTTTCCAGATTACAACAGATATAATCTGAAAATAAATTCAAAACCAGTGAGCGGAGCAGTATAGTCGGACGGGGCCGACCATACGATACCCTACACAGCTACCACGAACTCTAACTTTCTGAGGATGTTTATTCCGAGTCTGAGTAATATTTCGTGATATTTGCCCCCTCTTTGTCCGATTAGAGGTTAACAACACCTCTTCCTTACTATTTTCGAATATTCAGTACAGTCCTTCTAATTACTTGTCCAGATTACCTTCACGGTGGGTTGTGTTGTGATTTTTGGATTATACTCTACTCGAAAACACACAAAAAACCAGTGAGCGGAGCAGTATAGTCGGACGGGGCCGACCATACGATACCCTACACAACTACCACGAACTCTAACTTTCTGAGGATGTTTATTCCGAGTCTGAGTAATATTTCGTGATATTTGCCCCCTCTTGTCCGATTAGAGGTTAACAACACCTCTTCCTTACTGTTTTCGAATATTCAGTACAGTCCTCCTAATTAATTGTCCAGATTACCTTCACGGTGGGTTGTGTTGTGATTTTTGGATTATACTCTACTCGAAAACACACAAAAAATTATATTCTCCGACCATTTCATCCCAAAATTTTAATCTGATCATCACCGAAAATTATAGGCGTTGTTCTTGACCATAACTGGAACCTCATGAACAATTTCAAAGCCATCAGCGCGATATTTCTCCCTCTAATGTGGTAATGGGTTACTAAATAATATCTGAATACGTAAGCACCTGTAAATATTTGACTGTAACTCCCACATCTGAGTAGATACATCACTATATTTGGTATCAATTTAAAGGCCAACCACTCCTCTTGGATATGCTATCAACTCCTGGGGTCTACATCCTCCAGGAGTAAATATATATGCCATAGAATACAAATTTTGTCATTTTTCACACAAAAGTCAGGGTCCATTTGACCCGCTAAATATTGACCGATCTTTATCCAAACATGCATGCTTATTCTCTGGCCCGATCCCCTTCTCCATGCAAAAATTCGCGGTGTTTGGGCCATAATTGCGGCCTCTGGAGCGACCAGAAAAACCGACAAAAATTTAGTATTTGGCCCATTTCATCCCCTAAATATTAACCGATCTTTTCCAAAAGCAATAGGGGTCTTCATTGGCCAGAACCCATCCTACATGCAAAATTTCGTGAAGATTGGTCCATAACTGTGGCCTGTATCGTGTTTACAAATTATAATGGACAGACGGACGGACGGACACACATGTCTAGATCGACTCAGCTAGTCGAGATATGACGATCGGTATACTTAAAGGTGGGTCTAGGACCAATATTTCGCGGCGTTACAAACATTTGGGGCTGCACAAAGCTTTAATACCCTGACAACATAGTTGTGTAGGGTATAAAAATACTTCTGACTTATTAAACCAGTAAGGAAAGTAGTAAAGTCGGACTGGGTCGACTATATGATACCCTTCACCACTCGAAGAAACATCATCATGTCTATCTGCAACCTATGTTAAATTTAATTTCATTTGGGCAGATTTAGAGTTGTCTGCGTACCATGGAACAAATTTATAAAAAACCATTTATAGCAAAATTGATACACGCTATTCGGTACGCCGCACTGTTAAAATTTTAATTTCAATCAGACGCCCGTTCGAAATACATATGGAAGCTATGGCTGTATCTGCACGAATTTCAACAAAACCGAATAACGTCATTCAAGTCTCAATTTGATACGCTGTGCCAAATTTCGTGTAAATCGAAGAATATTTAGGGACTTTGGTGCACCATTTACCTTAAATCGGACGAAAATATATATGGGAGCTATATCTAAATCTGAAACGATTTTCACGAAATTTTGCACACTTCATTCTAGGCTTAATTCAGTGCGCTGTGCCAAATTTCATGCAAATCGAATGATATTTAGGGACTTTGGTGCACCATTTACCTTAAATCGGACAAAAATATATATGGGAGGTATATCTAAATCTGAACCGATTTTTTCCCAATTTCAATAGGGTTAGTTCTTGGGTCAAATAAATGAGCTGTGCCAAATTTTATCCAATTCGAATCATAAATACGACCTGTACTTTGTTTACAATTTAACAAGGACAGACAAACAGACGGACGGACGGGCGGGCATGCATAAATCGACTTAGAAAGTGATTCTATGCATATTCTCAAGAGGAACCATGTTTCTATCTCGTTTCCTTTTGCTGTTACAAAAATATGCACAAAGACATAATACCCTATACCACAGTGTGGTGAAGGGTATATAAAGATTACAAATTAAGCCCTCACCTCATCTACAACAAATAAAGGAAATTTTCAACTGAAATCATGGACAACAGATAAGAAAAATCTTGAAAAGATAATTTGCAAAAAATAGCAACAACAAAAATATTTAAATAAAGCCACTTCTCGTAAAAATATTATTATTTCGTAACTGACACCTGGTCCCCAATTATTTATTTTGTTTACGGAATGGATTTTCACAACTTGTTGCTGTTCACTTTATCAGTTTCCCTATTGCGGTGGTGTGCGACGCAACCCTTTAACTCTACATCCGCAGATATTGGCTATGATGGTCGCATTGTTGGCGGTGAAGTGACTTCCATATTGTCGTATCCCTTTCAAGTGTCCGTACAACATGATAGCTCACACATTTGTGGTGGTTCCATATTGGCGGTAAATATCATCCTCACAGCCGCCCATTGTATTGAATATCCCGAAGATGTCAAAGGTTATCGTATACGTGCCGGCTCCAATTCCCATTCTCGTGGTGGCCAATTACTGACCGTTCGTCAAATTATAATCCATGAAGCCTACAACTTGAATGAGCTGAACTGTGATGTGGCCTTGATTCGATTAAACGAACGGCTAACCTTTTCATCACGCATCAGGGCCATCGACCTACCTCAGCTGGGTAGTACAGTACCCAAGAATGTTGATCTCTTTGTAAGCGGTTGGGGTTTGACAAGTGAAACGGGTTTGATTGCACCACTGCTGCAGCATGTTGCCGTCCGCCTCATGGATCAAAGGGTGTGCGAAGAAAATTATCTTTATATTGCCAACATAACACCAGAAATGTTTTGTGCTGGTCTACCCGAGGGTGGCAAAGATAGTTGTCAAGGTGATTCAGGCGGGCCATTAGTGAGCTATGTTAATGAAAAAACGGCCAGTAGCAGGCCAGAGCTGGCCATCATACGACCCATACAATATGGTATTGTATCGTTCGGTGTGGGTTGTGCCCAACCCGGATATCCAGGTGTTTATGTCAATGTGGCCGCTCTAAGGCCGTGGATAGACCGCAAGATAAAGGAACTGACAAAATTGAGTTAGTGAGGTAGATTTGTGAAAATAAAATTGTGAATAAGAACATTATAAAAAAATGTCAACCCTATGTTAATCCATGAAAAATATCCTTAAAAAATACATGCCTTGAAAAAATATTCTTTAAAAAATCGATGCCTTGAAAAATTTTTTTAAAAAATCCATGCCGTGAAAAAATATTTAAAAAAGATCCATGCTGTAAAAAAAATCTTTAAAAATCAATGCCTTGAAAAAATATTCTTTAAAAAATCCATGTCTTGACAAAATATTTCTAAAAAATCCTCACATTGTATGGGCCCACGCCTTGTGTGGGCCCTTGAAAAAATATATTTTTTTAAATCCAAGCCTTCTGTGGGTCCTTAAAAATATTTAAAAAAATCTACGTCTTGGGTCCTTAAAAATTATCCTTTAAGAAATCCACGCTCGTGGTGGGTATAGAAAAATATTGGAATATTATTAATTCCATCCCTTTGAGACCCAAAAAAAGTTTTTTGTTTAATCCACGTGCATTTTGTACACCGAATATATTTTTACACTCTTCACTACACTGTGGTACATGGTATTATGTCTTTGTGCATATGTTTGTAACAGGCAAAAGGAAACGGAATAGACACATGGTTCCTTTTGAGAATATTCATAGAATCACTTTCTAAGTCGATTTATGCATGTCCGCCTGTCCGTACGTTTGTCTTTCTGTCTGTCTGTCCATGTTAAATTGTAAAGAAAGTACAGGTCGCATTTATGATCCGAATTGGATGAAATTTGGCATTGGTCACTTATTTGGCCCAAGGACGAACCCTATTGAAATTGGGAAAAATCGGTTCAGATTTAGATACAGCTCCCATATATATTTTCGTACGATTTAAGGTGAATGGCTTACCAAAGTCGCTATATATCCTTCGATTTGCACGAAGTTTGGCACAGCCTGAAAATTTCCTGAAAATCGGTTCAAATTTGGATATAGCTCCAATATATATTTTCGTCCGATTTAAGGTAAGCGGTGTACCAAAGTCCCTATATACCTTTCGATTTGCACGAAATTTGGCATACCGTACTGAATTGATCCCAGAACGATGTGTGCTAAGATTCATGAAAATCTGTTCAGATTGAGATAAAGCTCCCATATATATCTTTGTCCGATTTAAGTTAAGTGGTGCACCAAAGTACGGATATACCTTTCGATTAGCACGAAATTTGGCATAGCGTACTGAATTAAGTCTAGAATGACACACGTTAAGTTTCGTGAAAATCGATTCGGATTTAGATATAGCTCCCATATATATCTTTGTCCGATTTAAGTTAAGTGGTGCACCAAAGTACGTATATACCTTTCGATTTGCACGAAATTTGGTATAGCGTACTAAATTAAGTCTAGAATGATGCACGTTAAGTTTCGTGAGAATCGGTTCGGATTTAGATATAGCTCCCATATATATCTTCTTCCGATTTAATGTAAGCGGTGTACCAAAGTCCGTATATATCTTTTGATTTGCAGGAAATTTGGAATAGCTTAATAAATTGGGTCTAGAATGATGTATGTTAAGTTTCCTGGAAATCGGTTCAGATATAGATATAGCTCCCATTTATATTTTCATCCAATTTAAGGTAAGTGGTGCACCAAAGTCCCTAAATATCTTTCGATTTGCACGAAATTTGGCACAGTGTACTGAATGAAGTCTAGAATGGTGCACGTTAAGTTTCCTGAAAATCGGTTCAGATATAGCTCTCATATATATTTTCGTCCGATTTTAGGTAAATAGTGCACTCAAGTCCCTATATATCCTTCGATTTGGACGAAAATTGGCATGGGTATGGAAATAGGTCCAGAATGATGTGTGCTAAGTTTCCTGAAAATCGGTTAAGATTTAGATTTTGCTCCCATACATATTTTCGTCCGATTTCAAGTAAATGGTGTACAAAAGTCCCTATACATCTTCCGATTTGCACGAAATTTGGCAAGGCGTATGGAACTAGGTCTAGAATGACGTGTGTTAAGTTTCCTGAAAATCGGTTCAGATTTAGATATATCTCCCATATATATCTTCGTCCGATTTAAGGTAAGTGGTGCACCAAAATCCCTATATATCATTCGATTTGCACGAAATTCGGCATAGCGTACTGTAGAAAGCCTAGAAAGATGTGTGTTAAATTTCCTGAAAATCGGTTCAGATTTAGATATAGCTCCCATATATATTTTCGTCCGATTTAAAGTAAATGGTGTACAAAAGTCCCTTTATGTCTTTCGATGTGCACGAAATTTGGCACGGCGTAGTGAATAAGGTCTAAAACGATGTGAAATAAGTTTCCTGAAAATCGCTTCAGATTTAGATATAGCTCCAATATATATTTTCGTCCGATTTAAGGTGAATGGTGTACCAAGGTCCCTATACAATTTTCGATTTGCACGAAATTTGGTATAGTGTAATGAATGAGGTCTAGAATTATGTGTGTTAAGTTTCCTTACAATCGGTTCAGATTTAGATATAGCTCCCATATATGTTTTCGTCCGATTTAATGTAAATGATGCACCAAAGCCCCTATATATCTTTCGATTTGCACGAAATGTGGCAAAGCGTTCTTAATTAAGTCAAGAATGATGCACGTCATATGTATCTTCGTCCGATTTAAGGTAAGCGGTGTACCAAAGACACCCTACGGAAATTTATATAAATTAATCTCTGTCAAATTTCCTTGAAATCGGTTCAGATTGGTTTACTTATAGATGAAGATCACCTATCTATAAGTAACCAATCTGAACCGATTTCAAGGAAACTTGCTAGAGATTATTTTTTTTTTTAAATTTCAGTACGGTGTGTCAATCGGCCTAGCTATGGGTCTTTAGTGTACCATTTACATAAAATCGGATATTTAGGTTCGTTTAATTTTATGGCAATGTTCTTTCGAAAAGGCGCTGTCTGTTAGGCCACATATGTACATAATACTCGAAGTGGTGAAGGGTATCTTATAGTCGGCCCAGTCCGACTTTACTACTTTCCCTACTGGTTGAAAGTAATTACGTCCTTTTCAATGCATGAAAAAATATATTAAAACCACACCTGCTATATACCTCAATTACACAACGACATACCCTTTCGCTTGGCATTTCGGATCTTGGAATCCTAAATATGTATCAGGGGAAAAAAGCCAACTACTTAGGAACACAAAGTATTTTGTTATTACTAAAAAAAAACAACAACTACAACAATACTTAAATATTATTTACTAGTTACATATATATGTATGTGCCAGATGTCGTTGTTATATCTTTGATTAAGTTCTCTAATGGTTTTTAAATTGCTATAGGGAGAGAGATTTTTCAAGTAGATTTTTAAAAAACTGGATTTTGTTTTTAATGTTTTTTTCAAGGCGTGGAAAATATTTTTTCAAGGCGTAGAAAATATTTTTTCAAGGCGTGGAAAATTTTTTTTCAAGGTGTGGAAATATTTTTAATGTGTGTGGATTTATTTAAAAATATTTTTTCAAAGCGTGAAAAATAGTTTTGTTTTTAAAGCATACCTTAAGGCGCCATTTTTAAATAAAAATATAAATTTCTTATTAATACCTGCGATTAATCTCCTCAAGTCATAATAAATTCAACAATCAACCAATCTTATGGCGAAAATCTTATTAATGATAATTTACTTCTCGGGACGTTGATAATTTACTTCTCGGGACAATAAAAAATCTACTAGCCATCGAATCGAAAGCAAAACTACAAGAGAATGAAATGAAACTTAATACAACAATTACTTACAATGGCATGGCAAGAATTTAATTAACACTTTTTTGGAGTATTAACCTCAAAACCTCAATGTCGACACAGCTATGGATTCTCCGGGGAGATAGAGAGGGGGTGGGGTCCACTAGCCATTGGGAAGGCCAAAGATGCAATGCAAGAACTATTAGAAACAGCCAGAGAGCAAGAAAACAATTTCATTTGAAACAGCTTCCGGCCAAATGACAGAAAAGTTAATTTTAAATGCCAATTTCAAATTGAAAGACACAAGATTAAAATAACCCAGTAGACAAAAAAAAGCACAGACACACACACAAACACACACAACAAAATGCGAAGAACATCAAATGGCACTGCCGAGAAGTGGAGTGTGTCCTCCAATGGACACCCACAACAAGTGCAGGAAACAACAACAAGAGCAGCAGCGACAAGATATCAGAATATCAGTGATGGAGCAAATGGTTTAGCTGGGCTATTGATACTTGGTCGGACGATTGGTTGGTCGGTCGGTATGTTTACATGAAATGACTAAACTTGTACCATAAATATGTCGAAAACGTTGAGACCAATACAAAACGAAATAAAGTGAAACATACTTGTGTATGTATATAAATATAAAGGATATATACAGGCGCTTAAGGACATCCACTCTAAAACAAGGCAGGGCATCATTTATGTTAGGTCAGTCATGGGAGGGGTTCGAAAGGAAGTTTGAAAATTTTTATTTTTAAATAAATCCATGCCTTGAAAATATTTTCCACGCGGCTTAAATTTTTTTAAATAGATCCATGCCCTAAAAACTATTTTTAAACAAATCCACCATTAGACCAGTAAGGAAAGTAGTAAAGTCGGACTTGACCGACTATATGATACCCTTTACCATTTTGGGCATATTGTACATATGTATCCTTACAATTGTATGTCAATGTTCCCTCTAAGGAACATACTCATGTCTTTGTGCAACCTATGACAAAATTTAATTTCATTCGGGCAGATTTAGAGTCGTCTGCGTACCATGAACAAATTTATGGAAAACGAATTATAGCAAAATTGATCTGCATAAATTTCAACAAAACATAATAACGTAATTCAAGTCTCAATTTGGTACGTTGTGCCAAATTTCGTGTCAATCGGACAAACATTAGGAGTTTGGTGCACCATCTATGTGAAATCGGACGGAAATCTATATGGGAGCTATATCTAAATCTGAACCGATCTTGACGAAACTTAGCATTTATCATTTTAGACCCAGTTCTGTACACTGCGCCAAATT